TAGTTGTGCGTGAGCGTACCCTGTTTGGCATTCTAGATTTCTCAAATTTAAAATTTAATTCCCTTAATTTATTAACAAGTAATTAGACTGGTAGTCTTCACTTCAACCAGGGCTATTGCTTGTCCTTATCCTCATTTTATAAGCCTATATAGAGAGAGGAGCTATTATTTCATTAAGATAGACCCGTCAAGTTCTTTCAATTTCTTCCAATTTCAATCCCTCCTAGACATGATGCTCAACTTCTCCGAAATGATAATCCGCTTGCGACCAGTCTAAATCCCTACTCTGCTTTCCTGGTCTCGCGCTCAGGCGAACCGAAGCCCGGCTACATCTATACGGACGGGAGTAAACCAAACAAGACCACCTACTCTCCACATCAGGTCTTTGGCGTCTCTCTAGAACAGTAAGCCCTCAACTCCGCCTTCTGCCTTAGCAAGTTGCATTTCTTAAGCCCTCTCTGCTTTTTCGTCATCTGTAAAATGTTTTATCGGGTACCTTTTCATGCCTTCTTGATTTCTCGCTCAGTATCAAGGCCAACAATGGGGGCAATCCAATTCCTCAAGTTCTGGATGACTGTGTAGTTTACATACGCCAGCACTGTAAGTCAATTTTGTATAAAATAAAATATGTGGAGCAGTTTATTTGGTTCATTAACTGTTGACCGCATGTATGGGCTTCGTTTGGTTTCACAGTGTTAGCGGCCGTACTTCGTGGTAGCATTATCCAAAACAGCCTTTCGAAGCTGGTAATGGAAATTTATTGCTATTCTTCTTGAAGTATGACTGCCACTTATTAATTTTAGTGAGTAGTAATACCTCGATTTACACTTGCGCTATCTCAGAGCTAGCGCTACGTTAGTATACAATTTTTAAGCGAGATAACTGCCGCTGCATTTCACTTACGTGGTCAAATGCTCAGCTCCATCGAACGGAAAAGGTTGAGATTCGACGCTTTGCTCGAATGTGACCCTTAAAAATGGAGAGCGTGGTTGAACTCAACCCGAGTTATTGCCTTCACGTTATATACTTGATGACGTATTTAAACGGTTTGTAATTTTTTTTATTCCCAGGTAGCAAATGAGTCGCTCAAGAAAAACGTTCGTACAAATGCTAGAGCATGTTATTTATAATAAAATCAGTGTCTAGCAGGTTGTAATGATCTTAAATTTCAGCAGCCATTTACAGGTGGGGCGTT